AAAAAAAACACCTTTGGGACCTGAGATAAAAGGTTCACAATAAAGATGGAGCAAGACAAGGATCAACCTGATTGGGCATCAAGGTTTTCTAAGCAAGGATCAAAAAAGAGAGGATGTGAACACCACTCTCCTGTATATTTCAGTGTAGTTGCTCCAGAAAAGTTCCAATGTAGATTTTTGTTTTTTTAGATATTTTGCCAGGAGTCTTTGTTTAAGACACTGAGGATCTCTTGGAACTCACCACGCTGGGGCTTGTCTGGCTAACCTGGTCTCCCCACCCACAGATTGACAGGAGCCAAATAACTCATCACCGAAGATGGGCAGTATTCAAGGAATGAGTGACAAATGCCTTTTGACGGCAAGGCGTAGAGAGGGCCGTGTCTGGGCAGCTGCAAATATTCTTGGAGAATGCCAGTTTTCTGGATCTTTTGCGCTCCAGATTCAGGGTCAGGTTTGCATAAAACCAGGGTTCCCTGTTGTCCTTGATCCTTTCTAGGAGAATAGATCCCTGCTGACATGGCTAATAGTGCCTGGTGTAAGGGTGTTCCTGGATCCTGGGTCATTGTCAGTCCAAGTGATCAAGTTGATATAACTTTCATGATACAACAACAACAACAACAACAGTAGTAGTAGTAGTAGTAGTAGTAGTAGTAGTAGTAGTAGTAGAGTTGGAAGGGATGTTGGAGGTTTTCTAGTCCAACCCCCTGCTCAGACAGAAAACCCTATACCATTTCAGACAAATGGCTGTCCAGTCTCTTCTTAAAAACTTCCAGTGTTGGAGCATTTACAGCTTCTGGAGGCAGGTTGTTCCACTGGTTAATTGTTCTAACTGTCAGGAAGTTTCTCCTTAGTTCTAGGTTGCTTCTCTCCTTGATTAGTTTCCACCCGTTGCTTCTTTAGGTGCTTTGGGGAATAGCTTGACTCCCTCTTCTTTGGGGCAACCCCTGTGATATTGGAACACTGCTATCATGTCCCCCCCCCTCGTCCTTCTCTTCATGAAACTAGACATACCCAATTCCAGCAACAGTTCCTTATATGTTTTAGCCTTCAGTCCCCTGATCATCTTTGTTGCCCTTTTCTGCACCCTTTCTAGAGTCTCAACATCTTTTTTACATTGTGGTGACCAAAACTGGATGCAGTATTCCAGGTGTGGCCTTACCAAGGTGTTATAAAGTGGTATTAACATTTCATGTGATCTTGATTCTATCCCACTGTTAATGCAGCCTAGCACTGTGTTGGCTTTTTTTTGGCAGCTGCAGTACACGGCTGGCTCCTATTTAAGTGATGTCCCTGGAAAGTGCTTGTCTGGGTATCACAGTTCAGACATTGGCGTCAATGGCTATGATGATCTTCTCCTTCATGCTGAGTCTGGAACTTGATTAGACAGATAAGATTAATTAACTAATTAATCTAATTGGTTAGGAAGTATTGTCCCTCCCACAATTTAATAGGGAGAGAGGAATTAGTCTTGAATCACTAAGACTTAGGCCAAGGGGCCACCACCCAGGTTCTCCAGCAGAGAACATCTAGAAGATGTCAGTGAGATGTTTTAAGTGTTTCCCCATTTTACAACCTTTCTAGCCACAGTTGTTAAGCAAATCACTGCAGTTGTTAGTAAGTAAGTTAGTTAGTAAGTTAGTAACACGGTTGTTAAGTGAATCTGGCGTCCCCATTGACTTTGCTTGTCAGAAATTTGTTAAAGGGGATCACATGACCGCGGGACACTGCAACCGTCATAAATATGAACCAGTTGTCAACCATCCGAATGTTGATCATGTGACCATGGGGATGCTGCAACGGTTGTAGGTGTGATGACTCTCCCCTGGATACTTCCCCAGATACCTCTCCAGATGCCAGCTTTGAGGAGGATGAACCATGTCTGGAGAGGAGTTGGTCAATGGCTCTGAGCAGCCAACTGAGAGGGATTTGGCTGAAGCACAGCTGAAGCAAGACAGCCCCGAGGCTTCAGGTGGGGAAAGCAGGCAGCTGCAGCCAGTCAGTGATAAGGAAGAGGAACTGCCTGCTGCACCTGACCCAAGAACATGCAGGGCAGAGAAAAGGCAGGAGCAGAGAAGGTCAGCCAGATTACACATGAAGAGGCAGCCTCACCCGTCTTGATGGGCTGCACCAGAAGCTGGCTATTTAGCACAGCAGTCAGATGGAGGCAATGTTGGGAACAACGTGTTCATTTCATAGCTGTGTGTTTCCTGGTTGTGATTCCTGCCCTGCTTTGGATTGACACATTGACTTGGATTGTGCCTTGTAAAGTCTGGACTTTTCTTCCCCTGTGAACCCTCTTGTATTGTGGATTTAATTTTGCCTGGTGGGTTTATGTCATTTGGGAATCTTTCAAGTGCCTTGTGGACTCATTGGCCATTGCTCTGTGGACTAGCATCGGTCTGCTTTGAGTTGGACTTAATTGGGACAGTTTTGGTTTTTTGGTGAAGGGAATTGCTCCGGAATATTAGTAAAACCCACTAAACCACCATTACGTGTGCGTGCGAGTGAGCGGGACAGCACAGTATTTGTGAAAAACAATCATAATCAGTTCTTTCAGCGGTGTTATAACTTCAAACGTTCACCAAACAAACGCCTGTAAATTGAGGATACCTGTAGCTAGTGTAGCAACTTCACAGTGTCCTTTTTCCATCCCTGGAAATCAGACACGCCAAACCATGATTGCACTTCAGGTGATGCTCTTTTTTTCTTCTTCTTTAATTTAAAAGGTGAAGCCAAGACCAGGAAGCTTCCATCATCCTTACAAGGTGGTGCTGTGGAAAGCAAGTCAAAGTTCTGGAAGTTTGTAGAAAGAGGTGAGAAGCCATCCTGTTTGGGATGGGATGGGGGTGGGGTGGGGCAGAAAAACAGAACCAGAAGCTAGAGGAAGAGGTAGCAAAATGAGCTGAGGAAACCCAAGGAGTTAACGAGAAGAGAAGAGGCCAACAGGAAAAGGGATCAGAACTGATTTTGGAAGCTAATTGAAGATGGCCTTTGAGGTTATTTAGAAGGGAGTTGGATGGTATGAAAATTCAATTTCCAGTAATTTATTTCAGTCTTAGTATATATATTTGGCGAGGAATAAGCTTGGAACCAAGTCCTCGTAAAAAATAAAGTTTTCACCTGTCTGGTTGTGTCCGACTCTGCTGGGTGCTCATCTCTGCTTCCTAGCTAAGGGAGACAGCGTCGTCTGAAGACACTTCCGTTGTCGTGTGGCCAGCATTGCTGTACACCAATGTGCACAGAATGCTGTTACCTTCCCACCAAAGTGGTACCTATTTATCTATTTGCATTTGCATGTTTTTGAACTGCTAGCTGGGCAGGAGCGGGAGCAAGGAACGGGAGCTCACGCTGTCACACAACCGCTCGGATCTTGAACTGCTGACCTTCCGGTCAACAAGCTATTCATTCTCTTTGCGTTTATCTCCTCTCAGACAAACCGAAGAGATGTGTGTTTGTGTGCATGTTTTTCTCTCTGAACACCCACTGTGTTGCATCCATCTGGGGACAAAAACGAAACCTGAGGAGAGCAAAATCTCTCTCCTTTTCAAAACTGGCCGATGTAGTAATCATGTGTTTAGAAGGGAATATTTACAATAAAAACACAAACAACATAGTTAATGGGCCAAGAGTTTTGCAAACAAACAAGCAAGCGGTTGGAGCAGAATACAGAACGCGTTAAATTTTCCATGAACCCGCGATCTTCGAAATGTTCTGGTTCTCATCAGGAGAACTATTTCATCTGTGGAAAATGTTGCGGTCACGAGGGCTTTTTGTCTTAGGCATGTTAATCCGTGTGAAATGCTAATTATCTCACTTAAAAGGAAGTGTCAGAACCAACCACTGCTACTAACTAGCCTCTTGCGTTCACCACACTTGTAGAGGGCAAAAAGGATTGCAGGAGGGGAACACAACCCAGGAATTGGGTGATGTGGCAGGAATGTTGTGTTAGACTGCCGATGGGGGAGTGCAGGGCTGAACTCTTTCCCGTGGGAAAAAAAAGAGAAAATTCTGCATTTTCAGGAGAAAACACGAAGTCTTCATGCTAGGAGTCCTTCATAGGAAGGAACATTCATTTTCCCTGCCTGTGGTTGAATTAATATAGTTGAGGATTGACAGCATGAACTAATCGAAAACTACACTCAAAATTTACCACTCTGTAGATCTGTCATTGGATTTGATAGCCGTTTACGTGAATGGCCGGGGACTTCTGAAATAGTCTAAGAGCAAAACTGTTCATCAGAGGACAACAACTAGGATTATTTTGGTTACACAACTCATTCCGGTCATCAGGCAGTTCTATTTTTAGCCACTTTGTGAAAACTGGGTTGCTATTTACAAACAAGTTACTCTAGTCTGATTACTATTACCACTTGAAGCCTAGAGACGTACTGTTTAAATACTCCTGGCAGTTTCCCCCCCCTCTCACACATTTTTATTCTTCTAGAACAATAAAATATTTTATGACAAAGGAAGTATATTTTTTTTAAAATGTCATTTCTTTGTAAAAATAAAAAAAATCTAGTCTAGACAAAATATGGAGTGGGTTTTTTTGTTTTTTTTTAAACCGTAAGAGGCAATCTGCGCAGTGATAGAATTTGACTTCTTCTCTTATTGTTATGTTGGGATGGCATTATGCAAAGCTAGATTTTTTCCCCTTCCAAATCTAGCTAACATTTTATTGTGTGATTTGTATTTTGAGTGGGTGGGAGGGGCCCATTCGTTCAGACCAAGAATTGGGCACTTCTGCAAGAATGAGATGTTGGCAATATTGCCTAATTGTCATGGTTCCGACAGATGAAACTCTTCAAAAGAACTTCAAGGCATTGTTTACCTTAAAGAATCTTTATTTTGAGTAGCATAACATCGGCACTGCATAATCGAAGCCAAAAACTGAATTCCCTTGCTCAACTGTGATACGAATTACTCATGACTATATGAATACCTTGCTGTGTGCCTTATACGCGATTAAGTTGCCTCTCCATTCTTTTTCAGGCCTTATATGTGAACAAGGTGATGTCCATCATCTTTTCTGTGACCTTTCTGGCGTTTCTGTGTGGCATCCAATCGACCAGCATGGATCAAGGGAGTTTATCAGAAGATTCCATGAATTCTTTCCTTAGGACACTGATTCAAGCTGGTATTTGGAAAAACAAGGTCCCCAAGCAGACGGCCAGAACCAAGGACGGCATGCCAACCACAGGGAGGGAAACCGAGGCTGAAGCAGAGGTGACTACAAGCCAAGATATTCGATTTTCGGGTTTCCGGCCTATCGTTTCGGTGGATGCGGAATTAGTGAGGCAGCAGAGACGCTTCAGTTCTCCCCGGGTCCTCCTGAGTGAAAATACCCCCCTGGAGCCCCCTCCTTTGTATCTGATGGAGGAGCCCATGGTGCTGAACCGAACGTCTCGCCGGAAGAGGCATGCGGAAGGAAAGACCCACCGTGGGGAATACTCTGTGTGTGACAGCGAGAGCCGATGGGTCACGGACAAAACGTCCGCGGTTGACATCCGAGGACACCAGGTGACTGTCCTGGGAGAAATCCGAATGGGCCCGTCTCCGGTCAAACAATATTTTTACGAAACCAGGTGCAAGCAAGCCAAACCTGCCCGGAGTGGTTGTCGCGGCATTGACGACAAGCACTGGAATTCCCAGTGCAAAACCTCGCAAACGTTTGTCCGCGCATTGACTTCGGAAAACAATAAACTCGTCGCCTGGCGATGGATCAGAATAGACACCTCTTGCGTCTGCGCCTTGTCCAGGAAAATTGGACGAACATAGGTGCGTTTCTCTCGGCCATATAAGTTATTATGACTAAATTATACGATATGCATGTAGCATATAAAGGTTTCTATTGTTTATATATTATAAGTGGTCCTTATTTATTAAAGTCCAGCCAACTACTCTCTCTCTCTCTCTCTCGTGATAAAGAACAGTAAAAAATGGATGTATAACTGTGGCAAACATCATTTCTCCTTTCTGTTTGTGATTGCAGGTCCTCCGCAACTTTCTATAAACTGCTTAAAAAAAAAAAACCTTTAGGGAATATCGGTATTTCCCCACCCCCTCGGGATTTTCAGCGTAGCGAGCAATAAGCAAAAAAGGTTAAAAGGTGATCATGATGACAATAATATCCATTCAGGCGATCCAACTTTGCATTCGGTGGGATTCAAATACCTGAACAACCGGTTCTCTGCATGGATGCAGGCCTGGGCCTTTGAGGTCTAGAATGGACTTCCGGAAGTGGCATCCACACACTTCCAGCGGACCATTCTAGGCCTGGGAAGCCTCCTCCAGGCCTCCCAGGCCTAGAACAGACTTCCGGAAGTGGCATCCACGCACTTCCGGCAGGCTGTTCTAGGCCTGGGAGGCCTCCTGCAGGCCTCCCAGGCCTAGAACGAACTTCTGGAAGCGGTGTGCATTCAGCCGGTTCTCCGAACTTAACAAAATTTAGCTACCAGTTCCGCCAAACCGATGCGAACTGGCTGAATCCCACCAATGCTTGCACTACAGGTAGTGCTGGACTTACAACAGTTCACTTAGTGGCCGTTCAAAGTTACAACAGCCGTGGAAAAAGTGACTTATGACCATTTTTCACAGTTACGACCATTGCAGTGTCCCCCCATGTGATCAAATTTCAGACGCTTGCCAACTGACTCATATTTATGACGGTTGCAGGGTCCCGGGATCACGCGTGACCCCCTTTTGCGACCTTCTGACAAGCAAAGTCAATAGGGGAGCCAGATTCTACTTTACGACCATGTTGCTAACAACTGCAATGATTCGCTTAAGAAACGTAGCAAGAAAAGTCATAAAACAGGGCAAAACGCAACAAAATGTTTCACTTAACAACCTAAATTTGGTCATAAGTTCCATTTTGGTCATACGTTGAGGACTAGGCATTGGTTCAAAGAAATTGCTGGGACCTCAGGGGATCCTTTTGACTTTCAGACTCTTCAAACAAAGCCGAAAAAGCAGCTGAATAATCCATGAATTGTGAAATCAGTAAAAAAAATTATAATAATTCTCTCCCGTATGTTGTGTTTTATCACGATTCTCACCCACACGGTCTCCCATTATTACTCTGGAATTAGAGCAAATGTTTTATTTTATTTTATTTTTTTTGCAAACACATCTGCAACTGCCTGTTCATGTTGCCAGATTCTTTTTTTTTGAAGCCAAGGAAAATATGAAACAATTTGTAATGAAAACTTTAGAGCGCCAAAAAACACTCGAAAAGGATTATTCATATAAATACTGAAAAGCTAGATTTCCTCAAAAGAAGGCCCTTTTTTTTAAAAAAAATGGTTTTTGAGCCCTTTTTTCAGCATTGGTCTTTCCTGAATTTTCCGTTGATTTGGCTGCTCTGTTAATTGCTTTAGAATTCAAATGCAGGGACATGCTCATTCCTGGAACGTACATCAAACCAAATCCAATTTAAAAAGTTTACAAACTTTTTTTGGGGAAAAAAAAGCCTTAATGAGAGAAGATATTAAAAACACTGAGCCCCTTTCCCACGCTTTGTGCTGATGGTAGAACGAAATGATCAGACAAGTTACTCCATCTAGACCAAGGGTCTTCAAACTTGGCCCTTTTATGACTTGTGGACTTCAACTCCCAGAATTCCTCAGCCAGGCACGCTGGCCGAGGAATTCTGGGAGTTGAAGTCCACAAGTCATAAAAGGGCCAAGTTTGAAGACCCCTGGTCTGGATCCAAGCCTGCAGTTTCATCAAAATGGCCGACTGAGGAATTCTGGGAGTTGAAGTCCACAAGTCATAAAAGGGCCAAGTTTGAAGACCCCTGATCTAGACCCTTAATCCATTTGTAACTGTCCAAAGGAAGTTCTATTACATTTGGTTGACAAAATGAATCCAACCAGGTCTTTCTGGAAGGGATATTTGGATGGTTAATTCCCTAAAAATCAGATGAAGGTGATGTGAAAATACGATCCTTGGGAAAAGAACACATACATTTTTCTTTGAAACCGCTATGTTTGATTCACATTCATATAACTATTCATCTTATGTATTTATTTAGTGCTAATCCCACCTTAGCCATGAAAATCAGCTGGGTGATTTTGGGCCAGTCCCTTTCCCTCTGCCCAGCCCACCTCACAAGGATGTTGTTATGGGGAAAATAGTTGGAGGGAGGCATGTTGAACATCTTTGCCCGCTTGAGTTACTTGTAAAAATAATAAAGGCGGGATGCAAATAAATTATAATCAAAATTAGGAAACACTACTCGCAAATGTACCCTTCTAGTCCAAATGGCTACACAACAGTGTACATTACAAAATTTTGTGCACTTTTATTTTACTAAATTAAACCAATACTGAAGCTAAACATACTAGAATGGAAAAGAAAGTGTCTAAAAAACACCACAACCAGCTATGGCTAATAAAACACACATACACAAACAAACAGAAAGCTGAATTTTGGAGACAAATGGAAACCAAGAACGCTGGCCCTGGAGCTAACTAACCACACTCGGTATCAGTTTTGTCTCAGATTCATATTGCATAAATAAAATGTCTGTGAACGCTGTGGTCCTTAACACACCCACAACTTCCTGTCATCTTGGAGGCTGAGTGAACGCAGAAAGCTTTAGCGTGTGAGGGAAAGACGTAGATTTATTTGCCAGTGGAATTTGTCTGCATTTGGGGGCAGTTTCTCAAGAGGCCTGTTGAAAATTGCACATTGAAACCTCAGGGGAACAAAGAAGAAAGAAATATAATGATCACACATGGCCCTTGACCTGGAACTATTCCTTTAGGGACCGTTAGACGTTATGACGGCACTGGAAAAAAAAAGACTTATGACCGTTTTTCACACTTAAGACATTTGCAACATCCTTGTGATCACGTGAGTCATTTATGTAAGTCAGTCAATCAGAATACCGCTGGAAGGGACCTTGGAGGTCTTCTAGTCCAGCCCCCTGCTCAAGCAGGAGACCTTATATCATTTCAGACAAATGACTGTCCAGTCTCTTCTTAAAAGCCTCCAGTGATGGAGCACCCACAACTTCTGGAGGCAAGCTGTTCCACTGGTTGTTTTCACTGTTAGGAAGTTTCTTCTTAATTCCAGGTTGCTTCTCTCCTTGGTTAGTTTCCAGCCATGATTTCTTGTCTTGCCTTCTGGTGCTTTGGCAAGTAAGTTGACCCTCCCTCTTCTTTGTGGCAGCCCCTCAAATACTGGTAGCCCCTAGTCCTTCTTTTCTCTAGACTAGCCAAACTCAGATTCTGCAACGGTTCTTCATATGTTTTAGTCTCCAGGCTTTTAATCATCCTAGTTGTTCTTCTCTGCACTTTGTTTAAATGTAAGTATCTTACATAAAAGAAAGTCTGAGGTATTTCCCTGCACTAGAATAGAATAGAGCTGGAAGGGACCTTGGAGGTCTTCTAGTCCAGCCCCCTGCTCAAGCAGGAGAACCTATACTGTCTCAGACAAGTGGCTGTCCAGTCTCTTCTTCAAAGCCTCCATTGATGGAGCAGAGCCCACGATTTCTGAAGCCGAATAAATCAAGCTGATTGGTTTATCTGATGCAGTCTTCCTTGAAAGAGATTTACTTCGTGAACCTATTCCAGAACTCAAATAAAATGTCAGACAACTAGCATCCAGAACAGCCCCGTGTTCTCATAAAACATATCCAAAAGGCGATTCCATTTGTTTACTATGTAAAGGCAGTTGAGCTGGCTTCGTCCTTCTGCCATCTGTCATCCCTTGTAACCTAATCCAGGCTAAGTATTTTATAGAACAAATTCTCTCTGCTGCCTTTTAGCCTTTTCTTTTCACTTGTAAAGCACCAGGGTGAATTCTGCTCCCATTTTGAGGGGTGAATTATACCCCTGGAATGATAAATGTAAACATCATGGGATCCTGTTGCCTTTACTTGATTGGCTTGGAAGGTTTTTCGCGGGGTCCTGTATTTAAAAACAAAGCAAACAATAGATATAGATATATATATAAAAACACACCTCTGTTTCAATTGCCTTGTTGTAAAGTGCTACTCCTATCCCATAATGAGAGGCCCCTGCAGCTGCAGAACATAGGAAGGAGAGAGGCAGGGGGACAGGAGTGGTTATTCTACCAAAGAGCAGAGATGGCAAGAAGGAGGAATCGGCATGTAGGGGCAGGCTGGGGCTCCATCCTTACTCCATCCTTACTTGTACCTATCCGAGACGCCAAGTCCTTTTCCATGTTAGCCCAGTGTTGGATCCATATCAGCACCATCCGTTCCAAAATGGTTTGGGCTTGATCATCCCAGGAAATGGAAGCCATGTGTTTACATGGAAGCCCAATCAACTTTTCTGCCCTATCCAGATTCCAGAGTAGTGTTGCGATCCATTCAGGAATCAGGAGAAACAGCTCTTCTCCTTACCCCATTAAGTCCTCTTATCTCAGAACCTTGGTGAAAGGAAGAGAGGGAGATCCATCCCTGTGGCTGATAGCCTTCTGCCGCCAGCTTTCACTGAATCTGAACTCTGAGCACCCCACAAGGGATGCTTGCTTGGAGCTGATACGGAGTCAACGGATCTCCCGGTCTTTGCATTGAGTGGTTGTGCAATCACAAAGAAGAGGAGATCAACTTAGTCTCCAAAGCCCCTGAAGCATAAGAATAAGAAGCAATGTATGGAAACTAAACAAGGAGAGAACCAAC